GTTAATTATCATTTAAATAGTTTTTATTCAGTTTGAAATATAGAAATAATTTACTTAAACCAATTAAAACTATTTAAATGATAATTAACAAATACAATAATTAAATTAGTTGATATATTGGCATACCGTAAAATTCAGAAAATGGCATCGAAACACCAGAGTAGGTGGGGCTGTTACCCGCCTCACCACCCTATCTTGCTTCCCAACTGTTTAAATACCAACCGAATGATACGTACTGTATAACACGAATGATTTTGTCGTATTTTTAAATATCGTAATTTTTATTCAATGAATAGTAACTAAATTACATCTAAATTATCGAAATAAAGTTTTTATAAAAATGTTTCGAAAATTTGGGAATTGTAAATAAGTAAGTCATAACAATGACAAATTTGTCAAATAGCTGATGGAGTGTAGAATATTTTCTTGTAAAGTTCTCGGTAACTTCATTGTTATATTTTTGATTTTTTGATTTTCATAAAAGTATTAGCCAGTTATTAAAATGGTTCTTGTGCCTTTCATAACGTTTAAATTTTTTAATTATTCTGAATAAACCATTTAATTAAAAATGCTATTTAATTATAACTATAATAAGGATGTTTAAATAGGAACGTCAGTTGAATTTCACTTTTACTATTATTGCATATAACTTAATGTTTTTAAAAGAAGGTTATACTTCTTTTCTTAACATTTGTTTTAATCATTCCATAATGTACGATTACTTAAAATAATAATAGCAAAATGGAATTGGAATAACACCTTTGTCTTATTGTTAAAATGCACTATTTAATTCATTTTATCTTTATTTAAGGACTTAATTGTAAAACCAACTAGTTATATTTTCTATTTACAAATATGAGACGTATTTATTTGTGCAGTGATGTGTTAGTGGAAATCTAGTTCCACAAAAGTACGAATAAATTGTTACGTTTACACCATGATTACTATCGATATTTTACAAAAATTCAATCAGTCTCAAATAGTACAAAAATCGCTCGCTCAAAATACACACTCACTTTCAGTTTACAATAAGAAGGTAGCTAAATATATCACAAAAGTTTCTTTACATATTTAATACTTCAATTTTCGTACCAATTATTTATTTTCCAGAGACGTACCTATAGTAACAGTCGCTTCTTTTTCATCCCTTCACACAGCACACACACACACACGCATCAAAAGCAACTCTTATTCCATATATTACTAAAAAACTAATTTCACAAGCCTTGATTACATACATATATAATAGTAAAAATCTAATAATAATATTAAGTATTCCGCTGCTAAAATATTCCTCGCGCATGCCATTCACACTGGAATATTAAGACTAGTTTTGGATATTCCATACTAACTAAACTAACAAAGTATATGTATACAAATAGTATAAGAATAAATAAAATTGTTTCAAAATAACCATTCAAGGCAAATGGTTACTGTAGGGAAGTTTTGCCGCCTCCATCATCTCTAGGATCTTCCAACGACACCACTACACTTGAAGATGACGGCTGAGGGGCTCTGCGTTTCGTCCTTCTTTCTTTATTATTATTTTTTGATAACGAATCATCAGTCTGTGTAGAAGCCGTCTCTCCGCAGTCTTCACTATTTGCTGAAGTCACATCAGCAGTTGAAGAGTACGAAGGCGGTCCTGTGGTCTCGTCTGTATTAGTCGCTCTACTTTCATTTATCAAGGACCCGCAAAACTGTGTCCCAAGTTCTTCTCCACTAGATATAGGAACCACGTAAACATCGAACTGGGGCTTTTCGTCTGTACCATCCTTATAAATACTGTCATACGAGGGGGGTGCGAATAAATCGTAAGCTGGAGGTGCCGGATCGTTCGTGCCGTTTGGGGAGGGTGTCGTGATTGCGTTACGCGTGTTCCGACGGTTCCAAAGACGCCTTTTACAACACCATTCTGAGAATGATATTATAAAAAAGAACGCAATTAGTCCTACGAACGATCCCACGTACCACAGGATAGACCACGCGTTGAATGATCTTCCAGCTGAAAGGAAGAAAACACGATATAAATTAGCTTAATTTTAGACAGTAGAGTCTTGTGTAAGAAATGAACAATTAAATTACAGTGTGAATATACAGGGTAAGCCAATGAAACGAAAATATTTGGGAACGCCACTGTAAAATAAAACGTGTATTAGTGTATACGCGTAAGAAGTGAAACTTCTTTAGATTGTATATTACAGTAGTATTTAAAAAAAAATTGGCTTAAACTGTTGCATTAACTAATTACTAAACACCCGAAAAATACAACATAATTTCGAGCGAACGAATGCGGAATATATACTACGATATAAAGGGTATTACAAGCAGTTTTATGATGATCCTGAGTGATCTTCTATGTGTAATTATAGTAATGGAAGACAAACAGGTACCGTCACTCTCCTAGCATGACTTTATTTTCACATTTCCCTAGAACTAGAACATTCCACATCCTTGACTATTTAACCTCTAGTCCTCTTAACTCCTGTTTCTGCCTCTAATATGTCTCTGACTACACCTTTATGCCTGAGAAGGTATTCTACGAACCTATATCGCCTATTTCTTATCGATTTCCACAGAGTTTTTTTTAATATTTGGTTATATTTCAGCTTTCATTAAGTTAAAAGTTTTGATTAGATGTCTATTTTGTGTATAAATGGCATGTTTACTAAGTAGTAAATATATCTAACCCCTATAGATTAACTTTTCTTATGATTAAATCGACAAACAAAGAAAATAGTATCCAAAGTTTCTGAATTGCCTCTTAAAATATCATGAGGCCTCAATATCAAATAAAACTGAAAACTTATGATGTAGACTAGTTATTACAATTTTATTATGTTAGTTTAATTTATAATATTAGTCTAAGAGACAATTTTTATTGTTTTCAGATTTAAACGAAGATAACATCCCTCCTTTTGCAAGTGAAACTTGACTGCGAAATGGTAGAGGAGAATCAGGGTAAGTAAATCAGTTATATATATAAACAACGTATTATTCTGAGATTAATCAGTAACATAAGACATTACATTTCGTTAATGTTAAACGAATAAGGTTACGGTTTCTCCACCTTGCGCAATTCATTTGTTTAACAAAAGGTAACAAATAAATACAAAGCGCTAGAGATTATCTATTGCTTTCAAAATGTACTTTTCACTTTATCAATCGTCATGGTGATAAAACCACCTGAAAATACGTCATCTTCAGTCTGACTAAAGCAAGTAAACAACTGACATTGATCCATTTCTACATGGTCTTCTCCGATCCACCACCAAAAGTTTTAATTTTATTTTAACAACCAACCCTCCCATATTGTTTAAGAAAGCCTACTACCGGACCCCCTTCCTTAGAGAGTCATATGGTTTATGAACAACCGCCACTGAGTTAATATTTTCTGGTAAATCTTGCCAAGTCATAGTGCGAGTACTATACATGTCTAAAAAAAAGTTTATGAGTACTCGCGTTAGATAATGAGATGAAATAAATTTACAATCTTCCGAGAGAGCCGAGATAAACAGGTTATAATCTTTGAATGTACGTTCTCTTTTGTTTATCTAATTTGTGCATGATCATAATTCTTCTAAAAGGTCGTAATTTTAGTGTCCTTCGGTATACAATGATAACGTTAATTTAAAAATTGTTTGTACATCATTTTACGTTATATTTACTATGAGCCAGTGTTACTCAAAGCTTTTAAGTCCGCGATCTCGTTTTTCACTTAAAAATTTTAAAGGACCTACTCCTTTGTCGAAGAACATGTATATGTATAGAAAAACATCCAAGGGAGGGTTAATTTAAATTCAGAAGTAGTTAAATTGATTTGTCTAATTAAAAATACTGTTAATTTTAAGTAATAGCAGAATAATTTTTAGTATCAATAAAATTGACTAGTTATCAATTTTTCTGCGACCCCCTAATTATTTCTCGCGAACCCTCACGAGGGTTACGAGAATCATTGCCTATTAACTATTGCATTTTATGAGGCATGCACGTTTTTCATTGTGTTAATTTATGTATAAATAATGCACAATACTGTTGATAATTTTTTAATAAATTGGCTCATTATCAATTACATACGTGAACCCATTGGCAGTTTGAAAGTTTAACTGAAATATTAATTTATTATTCAATTTTGAACAGTCGATGACTTTACTGCGTTAAATTAGCATAACTATAATGTACAAATTTCAACTTTCTAAAATATTAGTAGGTATAATAAAAATCGTATTTGCAAACAGAGCTATTATTTCTATTAATAAGTATTTTGGAAACGATCAGAACATCTGAGATCGATCTAATGTTATTTAGATAAAATTATTAAACATAAACACCAAATATGTCAACTTTAGATTTCAAAATTGAAAATGGTCCATTTCTTAGAGGAAAACTTCCCTAAATATTAAAGCAATATTTACGATTTATCCCACTAGCCCGTTGCTTCGTAAGCGCAAATAATAAAAACTACAATAAATTTACTAGGTATTTTATTTGATTTTACAAATTAAATTGTAATAATTAAGAAACTTGAAATAATTTTTAAAAAAACATGTCAAAATTGAGATTATTTAGTTTTCNTGATGCATCGCCAATTGTTTTTTTTTATTTATCAACCGATATTGCCGTTCAGTGATGTTAAAATCTACTAAAATGTTGTTTTATAATATTTTCTTTAAAAACGTCTTAGATACTACTTTTTCTGATAAAATTGTAGTTTACGTTCTGCGGTTTGTATAGTTTATGATTTCTGTTTGCTACCATGAAAAACACGCGGAAAATATTTACCACCCAAAAATTATATTAATCCTGTTGTTTTAATTGTAAATTATCCCTGATGTAATACTTTGAGTAAGTGCAAAAATATTTGTATCACAATAAATCATTCAAAAAGAAAAATTGTTCTCGAGTATTTTGAACATAATAAGATGAGACTTATCGTTACATTAAAGCTGATTGAGTGTTGACGTATTATGTCGCTTTATCACTTACACAATACAATTTTGCTTTTACTTAATAAAACGTTATTTGTTTTATTTTCACTTTTTATCATTGATTACGCTTGATTAAACATCCTATCAGTAAAATTGTAATGGAAGTTCTTAACATATGATTCGTATCTATTAGTAAAGGGGCTATAACCCACTCAGTACAACTTTCATAAAAGGTTAAATCTATTGCATTTGTTGTGAAATGACGAATTTGTAACACAACCAATTAATTAATAATAATTATTTTGTTTCCGCCTTTCAATTAAGGTTACTTACTGAAAGCAAGCAAAAAACATCCAATAATAAAGACCCGGTAAGCTAAATTTGCTTTTACCTTTCTCTTGCCCTTAACATGTCCAATTTAATTATGAAATTACATGACTACCTATAATCTACATGAATATATAAAGAGTCCTAACTCACTAATTCATCAACCCCCATGTTAAATCCTTCGATCTACATAGTACCTGCACGAAGAAAACTAAATTTTTATGACAAGGCAAGAATTACAATTTTCGATTGCAAATGACTGAATTTGCCGTAGAAATAATAGAATTTATTAGGTAACTGGTAATAATCTTAATTTTGACATGTTTTTTTAAAAATTATTTTAAGTTTCTTAATTATTACAACCTAATAACGGGCTAGTTGGATAAATCGTAAATATCACTTTAATATTTAGGTAAATTTTACTTGTTCATTTTCTCAGTGTGATATTTTGCGCAAACGTTTCCTTTATGATGTTCTTATAAGAAAAAAGGAAGAATATTTCAAAATTCAACCCTAAAGAGGTAAAAAGGGATGCTAAAGTTTATATTGAACATTCCGTTTGTGTCCAATTTTATTCGAAACTTAATGTTTTATTGATCGCTAGATAATTATAAATAAATGTTTGTCTTGAGCATGACATTGTTAGTACACATATTTGCATGTTCAAGGATTAAAACATTAAAAAATCTTAAGTTAATTTCCGATACCTTATCGAATGATATGAAAAGTGCCCATAAACCCAACCATGAACATTGTTCGACGATATTTCCTAATCAGGTTTTTTCATGTTTTTAAAGATAAAGTTTGCACACCCATCAATAACAGAACACCGCGTGTTATTATTCTTACATACGAAACTCATAAAGTCAAATGTAAAACATGATAATTGTTCGCCTATTCTAATTTTATTTATCGTTATAGCTTCCNTATACATTTTCTCTATGTCCGCGAGCATGACTATCTGATGTGTGCGAAATCTAAGGGTGATGTCCCAGCTAGAATTTTGTACAACCGCGCCGACCTTTAAACAGTCGTTTAATGATAACCCGGTGCTGGTTTTAGCTGACGCGTTATATACAATTCTGACCCTTGTTGTACTGCTGGTTTCTTTGATAACAGGATGATGGGGTAAGAAACAGTGTTTATTTTGTACTTTGTCGAATTTTATTTCTGTCATGTGACCTAAATTGACCGCCTCGCGCATATTTTTAATGTATTCGTCCCTTAATCCTGGATTTTTTGAAAGCTTTCTTTCTAACGAATAGAATTGTTTTTCAGCTATTTTTCGAGATTCGCCTAAATTTTGAATTTTATTGTTAAAAGGTAAACGAACAGTATATATTCCGGTTGCTGGATCGCGTTTTGTGTTTTTCACGAAGTGTTCCTCTACCTGATATTCTTCTTCAGAGAGAAACGTTTTACTTTCAATTTCTTCGATTTCCCAAAATTTTGTAATAGCTTTGTGTAATGAATTGAAACTTAACATGCATTTACTGAATTTGTTTGGTTTGTTATCGCTACCTATTTTCCCAGAGATTATCCAACCTAACTTGGTTTTATGCAGTCTCGCCTTCTGATTAGCAATGTCGATCTGTCCTACACATAATAAATTAAAGAAGATTTCAACCCCTAACAGCGCATCGATTTCGTTGGGTTCAAAAAATGTTGGATCCGCCAGTTTGATATTGTGTGGTATGATTAATTTGCTTCTATCAATAAATTGATTGGGTAGATTATTGCAGATTTTTGGAATAATAAGAAATTCTACATTTTCGCTATAA